GACTAGAGGTCAGACTAGAGGTCAGACTGGAGGTCAGACTAGAGGTCAGACTGGAGGTCAGACTGGAGGTCAGACTAGAGGTCAGACTGGAGGTCAGACTAGAGGTCAGACTGGAGGTCAGACTGGAGGTCAGACTAGAGGTCAAACTAGAGGTCAGACTGGAGGTAAAACTAGAGGTCAGACTGGAGGTCAGACTGGAGGTAAAACTAGAGGTCAGACTGGAGGTAAAACTAGAGGTCAGACTGGAGGTCAGACTAGAGGTCAGACTGGAGGTCAGAGTAGAGGTCAGACTGGACCACAGATATCAGACCAAATATTTGACAAATGATGAATTGAGGATGGGTTGAAACCTGTAGTCTGTCTGGACTCTGTCTGGACTCACCTGTGATCAGTCTCTGGACTCACCTGTGATCAGACTCTGGACTCACCTGTGATCAGACTCTGGACTCACCTGTGATCAGACTCTGGACTCACCTGAGCCACTGAGAGTGCACATGGCGGCAGGTGTGATAGGGACCAGTGGTGGAGGAGGCAGTGGGTTCTGGTTCCTGGGTCTGGTCCCCATACGGGCTCTTTCCTCTCCAGGACCCAGCTGTACTCCTGCAGGTTTCTCCAGCAGGGCGACCTCAGGTGGAACCAGGTGTGCTTCCTTAGCGCCGGCCTCCAGGCTGTGAGCCGCCTCGCTGGGAGACTCCTCAGAGTCCAGTCGGGGGTTCATTGGACTCTTTGGAACCAGAATCTTGATGCCGCTCTTGGACAGATCCAGGCTGCGGCGGGCGGAGCCAGCTGAAGATGCTGACATCAGAGCAGCACTAAAGCTGTCAGCTGGTGGAACCTGCTGGGTGAGGACAGGTGAGGGACAGGACAGGTGATTTAAGCTGGCAGGTGTCTTCATTAGAACAGGGTCTCCAGGTGGTCCTCTGCTAGCATCATGGCCCGGGTCACTGCGAGAAGCAGCAGGTGGAGGCCTGCAGGGCATTCTGTGGGCGGAGCTATAAGGGCTGCGGGTGGAGCGCATTAAGGTGGTGGCTCTCTGCCGGTTGAAGTCCTGGACATAGGTCATACAGGTGGACAGGTGACTCTCAGGCTCCCAGGTGTCTCCTTCTGAACTATAACCCCTCCACCGGACCAGGTACTCCACCTTCCCCTTCCTGGTCCTTCTACAGTCCACAATCCTCTCCACCTGTGAGAAAGAAACTGTTAAGAGGACTGAAACCAAGAGGCTCCATAACCTGAACTCTGGTCTCAGATCCACATCCAACCAGACCCTGATCCACATCCAACCAGACCCTGATCTATCTCCAGTCAGACCCTGATCCACATCCAACCAGACCCTGATCCACATCCAACCAGACCCTGATCCACATCCAACCAGACCCTGATCTATCTTCAACCAGACCCTGATCTATCTCCAACCAGACCCTGATCTATCTCCAACCAGACCCTGATCTATCTCCAGCCAGACCCTGATCCACATCCAACCAGACCCTGATCCACATCCAACCAGACCCTGATCTATTTCCAACCAGACCCTGATCTATCTCCAACCAGACCCTGATCCACATCCAACCAGACCCTGATCTATCTCCAGCCAGACCCTGATCCACA